CCGGGCCGGACGCTCGTAATTTAGTTTTTAGTTAGTTTTTAATTTTTAATTAAGGTAGTACCAAACTAGCTATTTAATTAGTTAACTTATATATATATATATATATATAGAGAGAGAGAGAGAGAGAGTAATAGAACATTGAAGTTTAATTACAATAAACTAGCAGCAGAAATATTTTGTCACATAATTTTAACCATAAAATTAAAGAAATCTCTTAAGGTCGATGAAATTTTGGTGAATTAAACGATTTCTATGAAATAGTAGAAAATCTTAATAGAAATCGGAAAAATATTTCAAAAACTTTCCTTACACATAATAGCTTATGGTGTTATTTCCGTGAGTCACAAGATATATTTACACAACAGTCGAAAAATTACCGAAGGTTTTATTAACCACTAAGGGTTAAGAACTAACTAATCGTGCCCAGTTTCCAAATAGCACGCTGCGTTTACGAGCCGAGACGAATTAATGTCATTAATTTGTTTTAACTTGTCGTTCTGTCATTTCTCATTAACCAACCATTAGTATTCTAAACTTCACATACTTCTAAAGTTTCTCTCGTTTTTTATATATAGTGTATTCACGAGGTTCTTTGTTGGCACATTTCTAGTGCCTTTCAGAACGTCAATAGTTCTGCTTCATCAAATTACTTAATGGAGTTACAGTCTTCTAGTTCGGGTTATAAAGTTTAATCAGCACAGAAGCAACTACTAGAAAAACAAAGAAGTAAAATAAGACCACAATTTAGTTGGATTTATTAAGGTTAGTTTTCGTGAAGGTGTCCTGCACGTAGTTTTGGCATTCTTGTTAAACAGAAGTCGAAAGGTCGTAAACGTGTACTAATCCTTTCGTTCAAGTAAACGTTGCATATGCTAACGGATATATATTTTATTACCTTAACCCTGTGTCTGTCCCCATCTTAATTAAAGAGTATTTATTTGTTTCTTTGAAGTTAAACACAAAGCTACACAATGGGCTATTTGTGCTATTAAGGAGTTATACAAAAATCTGTACAAATCTGAGTTCGGGGTTTTATTTCCGATAAATTTTATTTGGAGTAGAGGGTGACGTTTGCAGCAATTGATTCTGGTATACCGCACTTTTGACGTTTTTGTCTGAATTTGGACGGTAAATCAAAATCATTTTTGTATTTGTCCTATGTGGACGTAGAAAAAACATATTTCTCTCAACCCTAGCAGTCAGTATAGTTACTACAGAGCAAAAAATGTCCGGCCTATCTAGTTATTAGACATCATACCCTAACTATTGATGCATAATTTGTTTATTTGTTCATTTGTGTCTGTTTCTTAGCTTCCTTTTCCTAGCTGAGTTTCACTTATTCTCTGCATAACATTTCCAGAATCTGTGATTTGCGGAAAATTTTAAAGTTATTTGTTTGAAATTAGTTAATGTAAATACCACAAAAACTTTATCCAAAAACGCTTTATTTCAGAATGAATGTGTCAATTGTAGATGGATTAATAATACATTTCTGTGTGTATCACTTTTAAAGGTTTTTATGTATACATCTTAAAGTTACTTCTTAAATATTACAGTTTAGTGTGTTACAAACTATTACTTGATCAGTAGGTTCTCTTATGTTATTGTACCTAGGTGGAAAAGCGGTAAGTCTACGAGTTTATAACGCTAAAATATCGGGTTCGATTTCTTGTGGTGGACACGGTAGATAACTCAATGTGGCTTTGATCTAAAGCAGAAATACAAATGGCATTATCATTAACTTCTGGTTAGAGAAAGCTATCTTTATGTATCAGAACTAAAACAATAACCAAGTCATGAGTATAACTAATTTAAAATATCTTTCTAACTAGGTTTATAAATTTGATTCATCAGTTGGGTATGGTTACCGTAAACGACATTTACGTAAGGGTGAACCAAACACTTTTGTGTACATTTTGTGTACATAATTGGATCTCCTTTTTACTATTTTTCTACCAACAAATCGTTAAAAGCAATAAAAAATGTGATAGATCGTGTTGAAAGGATCATCATCTGCAATAGAGTGATCTTTACTCTGAGATTTCATTGAAATTATTTATTAACAATAAATGATTCATTTTTAACACTTTAATTAACATTTATGAGCATCCTGATTATTTTATAATTGTTTAATTTAATCGACTCGATAACAGATGTATGTATATTGAAATAGAACTTTGCATATGTTTTTTCTAAAATAGTAAAGAAAAAATATCACATCTATATATGTAAACAATTTCAATGCTTTTTACTTATTATTGATATACTTACCAATTTTATACTTTTATGCTTTGATAGTATTTCTATGTATTGCAAAATTAGCAACTGTAATTATACAGAAACGTTTTAGGCATTTTCTACATAAATCTATATTTTAGTCTAAGGGGGCCTTCCTCCGTATGATGTACTAAATTTAAATGGTCGAAAATGTTTTAACTGAAAACGCTTAACTAAGGTATTCATGATGTTGCCACTTAGATCATAAATAACTCTGTGCTCGGATTATCATGCTTGGCTTTGGTATCAAGCATTAGTTGCAATTATTTATTAATCTTAATTTTCTACCACTATTCTGGTGGTTCTAAGAACTATATTCGGGATAGGTGACTGTCAATTAGTTTCAAATATTTATTAATCTTAATTTTCTACCCCTATTCTGGTGGTTCTAAGAACTATATTCGGGATAGGTGACTGTCAATTAGTTTCAAATATTTATTAATCTTAATTTTCTACCCCTATTCTGGTGGTTCTAAGAACTATATTCGGGATAGGTGACTGTCAATTAGTTGCAATTATTTATTAATCTTAATTTTAAACCACTATTCTGGTGGTTCTAAGAACTATATTCGGGATAGGTGACTGTCAATTAGTTGCAATTATTTATTAATCTTAATTTTCTACCACTATTCTGGTGGTTCTAAGAACTATATTCGGGATAGGTGACTGTCAATTAGTTGCAATTATTTATTAATCTTAATTTTCTACCACTATTCTGGTGGTTCTAAGAACTATATTCGGGATAGGTGACTTTCAATTAGTTGCAATTATTTATTAATCTTAATTTTCTACCACTATTCTGGTGGTTCTAAGAACTATATTCGGGATAGGTGACTGTCAATTAGTTTCAAATATTTATTCACTTCCTCAGGTTTTCATTTATCTAGCAATAAGCTACTTCGACTAACAAAACGTCATTGGACAGTTTACTGCTGATCTTCGAAAATCTTGTATTAATTGAACAAACATATTTTCAAGTATGGCAAACCCTGACTGTCCCTTTTTCCCCTGGCCTCAGAGATTATACGTGAGAAAATATAATGAAACATACACATCATTGTATTTAAAAGTGATATAATTCTTGCTGAAGAACAAGAATTTTAGGGGCAAAAAAACAAGATTTTTTCCCATCTTGAATATAACTGGTTGAAGTGAAACCGCCACAAGAGTAGTTATAACTCTGATATATTAATTAGTACTCTGATATATTGATCAGACAGGATAAAATGTAATTACTTTCCACGGAAGAGGCACAAACCGCTTTATTCACATGTCGACGCGACTCTCCTAAACCTATTTCATTGGTATTCATCTGGTGTTATTGGGAATAGAGAATTCCTATAAGTACAGTAAAGAACTCTAGTATCGTACAACACATACAAATCAATAACGCGAGGAAAAAAACACACACCAAATTATTATATCTAAGAAACGGTGGAGCTATGTAATCGCATTACCGTTCCGGTACTCTTAACAAAAAAGTACGTAATAACGAATAACAAGTGTTCCGTATCCTACTCTATATTAAACAACTTTCTCCACTGTGATGCTTTATATAAACCATCGTATCTAAATCATACAAATCCAAAGGCTTAACCATACCTGGAGAACACGATATGTGTGACTAATAACACAGGCCTGCGTTTTTAAACTTTATAAAAGTTGTTTTGATTTTAATAACGGATTTTCCATAATTCAGCTACGCAGATTTCGAAAATAATATTGATTTTTTCCATCCAGTAAGGACTTTTTTTACAAATCGTGAAGAAAAAAACTTTTACTTAGATCAAATTATTATTTCGTTTACCACAAAGAACAATTTTTATTATTATGTTTGTTAACAGAAATACAACCAAACTGAAGAACATCGATGTCAAACAAATATGCATCCTCATTAATCCTGATTTTTTATGGAAAATCTACGTCTTTTAGTCTCAAAACTACGCGTTGTGGTCTTTCTTTTATGTATTGCGTTATGCCGTTTTGTGAAAAATCTATACGTGATGGAGAAAAATGGATATTATTTTCGATTCAGCGTACAGGAATTACTGTAGAACACGTAAAAATTTCAAGACAGTAAAACTATAGCAGCCCTGTGTTATCAGAAATCATGGATATTACATCAGATACTTAAGAAAAGTAATATATTTTGAATGATGTATTATAAAGTAAACGTAAGCGTAACTGTGAGCAGGAGACAACTGTGACGGATTTATTATTATATACGTATTTTAATAGCGATGTTTATTTAAATTAAAATTATGTTTAGAAATGTACATAACTTATACTGTTGAGTCTGTATTGCGAAATTTACGCATGTTCTCTAAAGTTGTAGAAGATTCTCGAGTGTAAGAATCAACAATATACGTGTGTAGGTAAACGCTACTGTAGCGTTTGTATTGTTGCGTAACCTGAAATTTCGAGAAACTCTCCACACGCCTATAAATATAACCAACGCCCCGTGCCTAAAAAGAGTATATATTATTGGTTTGCTATAGTTGGTGTACAATAAACTTTGAAAGCTATAACTGTGATTGTTATAACGCTTATTAATCGGGAAACTTCAGATATCTGACCAGCAACACTTATACATTTCTAAGTTACAAACCAATTAACTTCAGTGTATTCACATCGGACATTAGTACTTTTAAGAAAACATTACCCAATTTTATCCGTGGGAGAAAAATCGGCGTGTGATCAATGAACACTACAGAGCTAGCTAGCTCCCTATTTAAGGTGAATTGTACCTACATCAGCTCAAAATTAACTCACTCATAGTGAACCCTGCAGACTAGAAAGAAGACTTTATATTACTTGTAAGTTTGTGACACTTTTGTATATGAATCATTGTTTGTAATAACTATTTGTAATAACCATTGTTGTAAATTGTATTATTGTTTGCATATCAAAATATATATATGTGTTAAAAAAACTGTGCGTATCAATCTTGTTGGCGAATATCATAAATAATATAAATATCGGTATTTATTTAACTACTAAATCCAAAGTACAATTTAACTCAGTTTTAGGCAATTGGAAATTATAATACGTAACATAATACAACATTTTACGATTATGAATTGTGTAATTTTTATTAAGAAAAGAAAATATGAATTTCAAAAATTGTAGAAGCATGTAGTGAATTTCGAGATTCATGAGCAAATAATATGACATTTTTAAAAGGGAACAGAATGAAGATTTGTATATATATATTTTTTTTCAGCACCATATTTACACGATTAAACTTATTTCCAAAACTGGATATATTGTATCTTTGTCGACGCTTATTGTAGCACTTCTGATTCTGGCTTTAGTCAGGTAAGTACGTCATCTTCAAATTTTCGTGATCCTTGTTTCATTTTCTTGTATATTTAACAACATTTTAAACCGTTATTCTTCAAATTATATCAACGTATGTTGATTTTGATTTTTAATTACTTAATTCTAGCTTATCTTTGATAGAAAAATAGTAAGATTCTTTATGTTACAGATTTTCATAATTTCGTGTTAGTAATGTAAGTAATTCAAACATTTTATTTCAATTATTATTATTTTTCTTGAGGCCAGAAGTATTCACGTCATTGTATAAATTGAATCTATTTTCTTCTATTAACTTTGTTCTTTTTCTTGTATATCAAGCAGGATCAAATTATTATCGCTAATTCTTTTTCATATTTTACAACTGGCTTAGGTCAAGTTTGTAAGTCAGGCTGCATTAAGGTCGTTTACGTTATTAAATTTCTTCTTTCGGCTGTGGACGATTCAAATAAGTAACTTATACCATATTGATTTTTGTCGTTGCTGAATCATCTTTAGATATCTTTTGCTTTATCGCGTACCGTAAGAATTGATTATATACTCACATTTGTTGCTGTTGCTTCTTTCCTGGCTAATCTAACAATCCAACCTGAAATGATGATCTGCTAAGTCACATTTCGACGATATTAGTTCAAATTTATGAACGTTTAAACTGTTCCAAATTTGTAATTAGTCTCCCATTTAAACTTTTGTAAAAAATGATGTGTGAAGCTATTCTGAACTTGTGTTTGAATCAGATAAAACGTTTCTCGCTGCCATTGTTACCACAATTGCTCAATATAAAAATGTTTTTAAACACTAGTTTGTTATTAGCTTGTTGGAACACTTAGGTAACTTAACTATAACTCAATTGTTGAGGCCTGTAAATTGAAACTTATTAAAAGTTTTTTGTTTTTACATAACGGATTTTTCCATAATTCAGCTACGCAGATTTCGAAAATAAAATTAATTTTTTCTATCACGTAAGAATTTTTTTTACAAATCAGGAAGGAAAAAAAAACTTACTTAAATCAAATTATTATTTCGTTTACCACAATGAAAATTTTTTACTATTACGTTTGTTAACAAAAATTCAACTTTGGTTTTAAACATTAGTCCATTTAAAATTTAAGGCAAACGAAATATCTGCAAACTTGTTTTCACCACCTACAATTTGAATTTATTTTTAATTATTAATTAATATATTAAAATTCATAAGTTGGGATCAAACTCAAAATCTCACTTATATCAGTTACCGAGTGGAAATCTTATTATACCGAGATAATCTTTAAGCAATATTTGTCCATTGCTTTATATGAACAATATTACTGTTGATATAAACACACACACACATATATACACAATTTGTATTTCCAGGCGGCTTCGCTGCCCAAGGAATAACCTCCATATTCAACTGTTCATCTCTTTTATAATGAGAGCGTTGATGCTTCTTCTAAAAAACGCACTATTCGTAGCTGGTGTTGGACTCAGCAGCAACGTAATAGTCAAATACGATGTGCCAGTTTTCTTGGAAAGTGAAAATGTAAGTTTCAATGTTTGCTTTTTAATTGTATACGAAAAAAAAATTACAGAGAATAACTACAAAAGTTATATTTAAAAAAAAGATGGGTAGTTTTTATATATTCGTTCAGCATATTTGGCTGTATTAAAAGCCTCATAATGTTAAACAAGGAGAGTTGGAACTGACAATATTAAGCCTATGAATCATCACAAAATCAGTGAACTTTTCATGCAGGATTTACTTAGAAATATAATGATTGTAAATGGCCGCCTGTAGGGGTTGCCTGTTTTAACCACTCGCACCACTATACAGTAGTGGTGCGAGTGGGTCAGTCAGCAGACACTACAATTACGTCACATAAGGGATGCTTAACGTTGCAATTTGTATTGTCATGACGTCAGTAAAACGTGCGCATGTTATGAATCACAAGAAGAATTATGTACTCTGTAGGCTACAACACAGCATGATATGTGAACTTTAAAAGCAAAAAAATAGAAATATTTGTTACTCCTAATTTTTGTTTCATTCACTCTTGAAACAAAACACTTTCGAGGACCCTGTGGAAGTACATCTAATATATAATCACTTATATAACTATGGAAAACACATTTGGATCAAACAATAACATACATGATATACGAGATCATGGCCGAGATTAATAACATCTTTTATATCAGGACAGTTCATTGCGTTTCTCAGGCAATGTTTTATGCATATTTTAATCGGAATACGTAAATTTCGTCACTTCATAGAAAAGAATTGTCCAACGACTTAAATCATTTCAAAACACAGCAAGAAATCTCATGCACGCTTTATATAAGATCGTCAAGAAATTATTGTCGCTTTTTTTTTAGATGAAGAAACCCGAACAACTTATATATATCCAAACAAAACATTTATTAAATGAAATAGTCTCCATTCTTATCGATGATACTTTTCCATCTTATAATAATGTTGTTAATGCCCTGATTAAAGAAATCACTTGGCTTTGAAGCAAAAAGAACATGTTGCTGTCCTCTTTAACACCTTCAACACTTGTATACGTTTTGTCATTAAAATGGTATTGCAGCGAACGAAAAGGATGATAATCTGATGGTGCTATATCTGGAGAATATGGTGGGTGGGAGAGAACGTCCCAACCCATCTCCATTCTCTTGTGTTGCGTGAAACGTGCCACATGTGGACGTGCATTGTCGTGGAGAAGAAGAACACCTTTCCGATTGACGAGTGAAGGGCGTTTTCTGATGAAGGGTTT